ATTATTAAAAGCTTTTTCATAAACAATATTTGAATCACAAAGGCCACCCTACATCACACCACTTGCTCTGACATTACTAAAAGCTGAGGGAGTTTGTGGTAAGGCAGACATCTAGTGGTGAACTTGTGCAATTACACATTCATTTAAATTGAGGGGAAAGTATCAAACGGGGAACCCTAGATTTGCTTGCATTGCAAGCTATGAAAACAGAGCGCATAACAGCACGTTTTTAAAAACCATATATGGATGTAAAATAATAGTTTTAAAACTGTAAAGTGAACTTATTATTCTTTAAATGCCCTTTTATCTGCTACTATGTCTCATGTTTGAATGTATTTTAATTATCAGAAATGTCTATACTTTACACAACACAAAAATACTCTTATCATTTTCTGGACCTACAGAAATGTATTTTATCATAACCATTTAATATGTGAATATTTTAGTCTTCAAAACAATAGATGAGAGCAATAAACTACACCAAAAGACTGAACACATGAGTCTCCAAAACCAGCAGTGCATATTAAATGATTAAACACACAACATTATCCATACCTCTTTGGAATCATCTATTCTCTCGAAGTAAACAAAGGCAAAGCCACGGGAGCGGCCCGTGCGCTGGTCATACACCACATTGACCCCTGCCAGAGGACCGTAGCGCGAAAACACTTCCCTCAGGTCCCGCTCTGTGGTGTACAGGCTCAAGCCAAACACTCCCAAACATTTGCTTGGGTCAGGGTTCGCCTGGAACAGTCAACAATAAGGGTCAGAGCTGATTGATTGGTTTGCCACTTGTACCCATGTTATGAAATGCCTTAAAAAGATTATTCACTGGCTTTAGCATGTAAAACATTCTTCGTCCACATAGCAGAATTCTGAATAATGAAAGCGTTGTGAAAAAAGACAGATGAAGAAGTCATTTATCAGAACTCAAACACAAAACATAACAGCATAAAAATACCTTTCATTATTTCATGTGGATCTTTACATTACTTCCATGTTATGTATTGGATGATTCAGATTTAGACGGTCACACTCAAAATACATGGGACACCTGCTCTTACATAATAAATTATGGCTTTTCACTACTGCAGTATTCAATGTAGTACTAAAAAAGTATAAGCATCTCCAGCTGTCCAAGTCCAACAGTAAAAGTCTTATGGCGATGTGTTCTTAGGCAAGACACTTAACCCCAAGTTGCTCCTGCTGCTACATCAGCGGCATGTGAATGTGTATGAATGGATTACGGTAGTTAATAGTGATGGACATTTTACATAGCAGCCTCTTCCATCAGTGTGTGATTTGGAGTGAATGGGTAGGTGTGACCTGCGGTGTAACAAGCGCTTTTAGAAGTCAGGAGACTAGAAAAGCACTTTACAACCTCAAGTCCATTTACCATTTAATAACCCCTTAAACAGCTTTCAAAAAGATGGGAGAACTAAACAATGTACAAAATCACTGAATTTGCCTCCTGCTGCAATTACAAATCACCTGTAATTCCTTCTTAGCATTTTCACAGGAGTGCATGTTAGACATATCGATCTTAAACAAACTGTGAGTTTCATGGGCAAGTTGAAGAATTATTATTATCGTATTAAAATAAAAGTACATATTTATTGTTGTAGTGTATTTATCTTTCTATGTTGCTACTTCTTGTAATGGTGAACCAGATGCATACATTGTCTTCATATAACAAGATCACCAAGTTATAACCACACATTTATCCTCCCTATCCAGTACTACAGTGGGAGCAGCACCGTTGACCCACAAACATTTCATTGCTCATTCCCAAAATACTTCAGAAGGTCCACATACCCTAACATCAGCATCACCACCATGACTGTTTGCTTCTTTTGTGTCATCATGGTTCTGTTGATATAATGAGAGGAGGGGGTGGTTAATAAAAAGGGGTTATTAAATGTCATTTCAAAGTGGTTTCCGAACCGCACAAGTTTCAGTGTATGATTAAAAAAATAAAAACACTTCCTGATGTATAAAAGAAACAGAAATGTACTTGCAGTGTTTCAAAATGTACCAAGTCATTTTAAGGATGGTTTAAATAACACACCTCAAATCAGTATATGACTATTTTAAACACACTCTTAACACATTTAATGCTTTAGATGCATGCTATGGACGCTTGGATTTTTCTAAATAAAAAGACAAAGGGTGGAAATCACAACATACATACAGAATTGGACAATAATCTTTGACGTCTGTCTTATTGTTCTTGTCCCTATCATTCAACTCACCCTGCTGCCAGTTTGACGGCGCCGGCCTGACATAGGGGAATTGCTCTGGCTCTTCCTGCGGCGGGATTCGGGGCTGTAGGAACGAGAGCGGGACTGCCTTCGATGGGAAGAAGAACGAGAGCGTGAACGGCTGTGGCGCCGGTTTGAGTACCGCCTAGAACGAGACCTGAAAGACATACAGCAAAGGAGGAGAGGCATCAAATTTAATGCAAGACAAAAGGATGAAACAGTCAAAGAAAAGTACAAGCACCAAATGACCCTGAACACTCATATTCATAACATCATGATGTGTTTTACACAATTTTACACAAGCTATAATAAAATGTCAAAAACATACCTAGATTTTGACCCAGAGTGGGATCTGGACTCAGAGTGTTTGGAAGCCCGGGATGGACTCGGGGTGCCAGACCTGCTCACAGACCTCACCCGAACTGGACTCCCATGATCAGATTTCGATGGGGAGCGTGACCCCTGTTGTCAAGGCAGCACGTTAAAAACTTTCACATGGACAAATACATTTATTTCCTTATAATGAAAAACATATATAAAACACAAGAGTAGTAAGATGTGGAAGAGCATACACATACAGATCATGTGTCTAAAAATGCACAGCTTATGTACTGTAAAGAAAGAGGTTAGTAACTTAATCATTTCTATTGAAAAATATTTTGTTTGTATTAATTTACACATATATCAAGTATATATATGACAGGTCTATTTTCATGTCCACCTGGGTCATAAAAGGGGAAAAAAAATGATACATGCAGTTTCAAAAAAAGACATTTGTGACACAAACAGTGTATTTACTTAACCAAGGGACACATTCATTCTTCCAGATTCTTTACACGCTACTCCCTTCTCTCAGGTTTTCTATCCTTCTTCGTTCTTCTTTTTTCAGTTTTCTCATTTTCTGATTCCAGGTCTGTTTTTCCTCTCTTCACCCAAACTGACACCAGTTTCATTTTAGCCATTACACTGCAAGCGCGTCTATCTGACACCAGTCTTCCGTCACATTTTCTCCCTTTCCACTTCTATGTTCTGCTCTGTACATGTTTTCATTAGCCTTCTTTTATCTTGAAATTTTGTCTTCAACGTTCTTGGATAAAACTCTTCAAATCCTTCACGATCAATAACCTTAATGAAAAAAGAACATTCAATACAATTAAAATCATAGGTTTAGGAAGAGAATATCTTCAATGAAATGAACACTGAATGCAGTACAATTACATGGTTTCTACAGTAAGTTTGAAATTTCCTGGAAGTAGGCAAATAAGGAAATTCACATCATGGTTACATTGAAAGATCTTAAATGTTTAGTAACAATGTTTCAATTTGGAAGAAAAAAAAAGAACTAGAAAGCAGGGAAGGAAGAGTGGCTTAAGACTTGAGTTGTTACTAAAATAATGAAATCAGGAAAAATATTCAGGTAAGTGTAATGATGGCTGGACTGAAGCAGTGATGTCTGCTTAAAAGGGCGAAATGCTAAGGTTGTAGTAAGCTTGCCATTCATTTTAGACTGTAATAAGTCATGTGCAATAAATTCAACAGGACAGAGAAAGGTACCGTATATCCCCATTCCCCTGCTACCATAAAGGACTCTGGTTTAAGCAGCTAGCCGTCCATATCAATTTACTTTTGATGAACATATATAGCCAGAGGGTAAATATGAACATTATCTGCCTTTCTTACGCAGGTAATGTTATCAACACATCGTACACAGCTAACAACGTTAGGCTAATCGTTTAGCCGTCACATTAGCTAGCGTGAGTGTTAAACGCTCTGTCGACAGCCACACGGAAGACAAGGAAAGAGAGGGAGAAATAAAACATTATTCGATTACATTACTTACCCGCCTGTCGTAATTTCCAACCCAGTATCACTCATTGTTCTGTATAGCTTAAAAAAGCCGAGTTTTGGACAGATATTTCACTACTCCCGACAGAGGTTTCACACAATGTTTGGTTCAGTTACCAAATAGAAGATGGCGCGTGCGGTGGGTGGTGTGTTTATTAACAGCAGTGTGACGTCATGTCCGGTCTCGACTCCCGACAAGAAAAAAACAAAGACTGTATAAATAACGTAGGTTTGAACCTTAGATTTGAACGTATAAGTATAACACACGCGATAACTTTCTAGATTTTTAAGTGAACACCACATAATTTAAAAAAAAAACTTAAAAATAAGAGTGCAAAATCCAGGATTTTAAAACTCCAGGAGGAGTTGAACAACACTTTACTGTAGCCTAAATGACCCAATTTATTGCCATATTCTATAAATGTTACTGCAAACTTTATTCTGCAAGTAGCATCGTACAGTTGAATCTGGTTGAGGTTGAGCTTATTACAACCACAAACGATGTATGAACGGCTGGGTTACTTGATTGTGTCCTGTCATATTTTACAATCTGACAATTGTTTTAAATGTAAATTATCTTTATTTTGACAGAAGCCAGGTAAATGTAACTTAGAAGGAGTGGAAACATGCACATAATGGAGAGTAGAAGTGCCTCTGAAATCTTAAATAGATGTTAAAAATTCACTAAAGGTCCATGGTAAGACATGATTTGGCTGGTACATTTTAACATCATGTAGTTTAGGGGTTTTCTGTGAAGTAAATCTATTTTAAATGTCACTTTTACTCACTCGTACATCACTCCTTTTCTAAACCTAATGAATTTCTGATGAAAGCAAATCCAATTTGATTTGTTGTCTAAACATAATGAGCCAACTGAAATCTCCTGAATGACACTTGGTTTTTAACTTGCTTTAATTCATGGAAATTAAGAAATTGACCTGATACAAAACAGCTTTTAAAGTGGGGGTGGGGTGGGTTTAAATGTCCATAGTCTATTCTTTAGTAAATCTATCCGACAGCAGCTAACTGGATCACCATCTTGTCTACCTTATACAGCCAAGTACATTTATGGCATCACTCAATATAGACACGGTTAACCCACAGAGTGATTATTAAGACGTGAGGCCTTCACATTCAGTTAAGTTTCTGTTTGTAACTAAGATATGAAGTAACTTCCTCATATTTCAGTACAACATCTACATTCCCCAAGAAGTTTGGATGACAATATTGGCCATCTTTCTTGCTGCAGAAACTATATTTAGGATCAGGATAAGGGTGTGTAGAGTGAATATACCAACGTCCCCCCCCATGTCCACACCCTTCAAATATCCTTATAGTAAAGGATGGATGAGTCCAGTATTTTTAGATACTCTCTATAGAGTCACAGTGCAAGATGAACCCTGAACATGAGTAAGCAGTAGGTCAGTCTACTTAACAGCATTACAAGGCTAAAGACTGACTACACAGTACATTCAATCTGTTCCAAACCTAAATTAAACATTTCTGGACAGCTGGCCGGGGAAACATTAGATCTGAAAACAAAGCACATCCCACTCATGTTAAGTGGCAAATAGGCATCAACTAATCAACAGGAAAATTATAAATACACATTTTTACTTCCTTCGGATGAGGTGCAATAACATTCTTTGGATTATCTGTTTTAACTGTCCTTCAAACTACATATAGGTATAAGCCAAAAGTAGAATAGTTTTATAGTATTGAGAAGCTACACCAGCTAAAACTGATATTTAGCTTATCCTAACTATGAGTATATTGGTTTAGTCAGCATTATGACATGTTGAAGTTTTGAAACATACTGTAGTTCACTTTGTTGATAGGTGAGACTTCAGAGCTATTTATAAAATGAAACCTATGTAAACGAGTGTTTCTACTTCTTTGCTTTTGCTGAAACAGTCATAAGATTTCAATGTGACATTCAAAAAAAAAAAAAAAGTTAAAATTCAAGCAAAATACAATGAGCAATGTGAATATAAAAAAATATGCTGGATAGTCTTGGTAAAAAATAAATAGATATCAGCATGTGACAGGAGAGAGCATATAGAAGTCTTTTTCTTCCCTCTGATAGCGTAGAACATTTCTTAGAAGTGTCCACATTTTCAAGTTGATCGATGTCCATAAATCTCAGTATTGCTTTTCACTAGTCTGATGTGATTACATCAGTGATAGATGCTGGAAAATGTGATAAGCCAAACAAAATAAATAAAGATTTCTATTAGGACTATATTCTTTGACGTGGCCGAGGCCTTTTAGGGATGTGTGGGTGCAGGCGTGACGTCCCTGGGTGGCTGCCAGCTGTCTCGTGCTTTGAGGATTTCTGTAGGTCAGCGGGGGCAGAGGCAAGGACGCCCCCTGCTGTGTGGGAGGTGTTAGTGGAAGAGGCATTGACAACAAGCTCGATTTTCCCCTCCAGTTTGACCAGCCGCGTCAGAATATCATCCAGTAGCACAGCTATAGTCCTCTTCAGATCAGCTAAGAGCAAGGGAAACAGAAAGTAGAAAATTCAATACTTAACTTTAAGGAACAAGTTTCAGTAAAGTGGACATGGATGGATTCTGAAATGCTCACCGTAACCAGCCATGGATGTTCCCTGCGGCCCACCTGGTATATTCTGGTTCTCCTCTGTCAGGACCTTGACATATCGCCTGCTGAGCTCCAGTATCTGCTCCCGTAGCTCAGAGCTGCTCTGATGGCGAGGCTGCTGCACAGTGTAGCGCAGCAGCATAAATCCCCACGCCAGGCCGAATACCATCAGCAGCACACTCAACTTCTGAGACATGTTCCTTCGCAGGAGTGCACCCAGCATGGTACTGGGGCTGGCAATGGGAGGGCAGGGAACTGGAGGGGCGATGGTCTTTTCTAGAATGTGGATTTAATAGAGTTTTTTATTCCTTCAGGGAAATCCCTGTTTCTTCTGTCTGTATCCCTGGAGAAGTTAAAGGTTTAGTCGACTACAAAGCATTCCTAGTCCGGCATGGATCCACTCAAGTTATCTCCAGCAGGACATGTGCTTGCACAATACCCATACAGCCCAAAAATGTTTCTGTAACCACTATGTCATCCTGTAAGTGCTACAAGAAGGTGAAAAGCAACAGCAGTGGCCAGGAAGTTGTTGCGGAAGGAAGCTGACACCCACAGACACCGGTAGTCAGGGGCTTTGGAAAAGGTGCCTTCCTGTCGATAAGTCGATATCACGGATGTAGACCTGGTTTTCAGGAAGGGAATCCGCAGACATTGTTGACTGTTCGAGAAGAATACAAGATAGACAGAGAAGATAAAGTTAGCAAAAAGAGAAAAACTCAGTGAGGCATTTCATTGTCAGAATATGGAGATTCCTTTTGTAGATATCTTTCATACAGTGCTGCTGAGAAACCATTAATTGAGAAAATAAACTTTTTCTGCAGTCTATCAAAAACACTTCCAAGGGAAATTTCTGTATCCTTTCTTTGTTAATTCATTTTGGACTCAGAGCCTGGTTGAGCATTGTGGTTTCTATTCATATTGACTGAGGATTTCAAGGTAGATAAATGCACAAAGATTTTCACACAAACACCACTGCATGTGCTGAATGAAGAACAAAATCTACCTCATTGTTATTGGCTAGGAGCTCGTGGCTCCATCAAAGGAGGCTGCCTGGGAGATTAGCCATTATTCTGACATTTTGCTAAAGTTGCACAAAACCCACTCATCATCAAAAGTTTTTTTTAAGTCCAGTAACAGTTTAGATTTCATGAGACCCACTTTGCAGCTCCGGAAAGGAGAGAGAACAAAAGACAGAGGCACAGAGACCATTCATGTTAACTTTTAATTCCAACTCCACGAGGCCTATTTGACTGACAAATGGCCTAAGATTGCACCGTGCACACAGTTTTTCGTTTTCACAACTTTGTCACCGAGTTCATTGTCTTTTCTCTCTCTTGGGTGTGGGGAGTGTCATTTCCTATTGAGGTCAGAGAGAGGGCACTGACAGAGAGAATAAATTATGAAAAGAACGGTAAGACAATCCGTTAAGCTATGCTTTCCTATCTCTATCTACACACACACACACACACACACACACACACACACACACACACACACACACATATACACAAACAAACATGTCCTTTCTCTGACCTAGGGCAGCACTGTACATCAGCAGGCAAGACTTGATTAAAGTTACAGTCAAGATCAGTCCAAAAGCAAAACTCTTTGTGAATGACAAATTTAGCAACACCAGATGTGGCATGTAGGCTCTATCATGCGCTATTAGGCCAAATGTTTTATCTTCTAGCCTCATTAGGCAGCTAAAATGTTTTGGCATCATATTTCAAACATTAAAAGTGTCAAAAAACAACAACAAACAGAGCACATAATATAAGATACTGAGGCACATAATGCAGTGAAACATTGCTTTCTGCACTCACAATTAATGGCAAATCGTTCCAGACCTCAAGCACAATAAAAAAATTTTTAAAAAAAAACCTTCAGGAAGATTTTCTGTGCCTTGCATATGTCAATAGATCATATCAATCCTGCCTCATCACAGCAGTGACACTCGATGACAACCTTAAGAGTCTTGGTATTGAGACACTCCCTCTCTTCACTGTCAGACTACTACAGCCTTTCCATTGTTCTGGGGAAACGCACACTACTTAGGCTACAGCTGCAAACAATAACTGTTCCACCTGTTTAGAGAGAGGCTCAGATACAGAGTACCTAATGGGATGATTGATAGTGATAAGGCTCATGTTCTAGTTCAAATAACTAATCTAGAGGTTAAATATTGACCACAGGCAGCTGCTTGTGGTCACAGCAAAAGACTTTATCAACTGACCCGTGGAGCATAAATTGAAATGTCAATAGTTGTTAAGAGTCTTTAACTACCATGCATGAAACACTACAATAAAACTGAAACCTGGTGTGTAAACACAGATCAATTAAAAGCCACAGATTGACGACCTGGCCAACTTTTTAACTGGCAAAACTTGTCGGGATGGGGTTACAAATATCTCGCTAGGTTACACGCATTAGTAAACTTAGCAACACCCAGCAGACGAAGAGTGACAAAGACAACACGAACATGTTAATTGATGCAAGTTTCAGAATTGCAACACCTTGACTATTAAGTGTCTGACAGGTGCGTGTTAATGCTATCCAAACGCAATTGAAGCAAATGCCACACAGTGTAATGCAGAAACAAAGAGCAGGATTGAAAATAAATAGAAAAGTTAAACGCCGTTCGCTTAACTCAATACTGTTGTACAACTTGAGACAGATTTCTTAAACATTTGCGATCAGTCATGTTAGCTTCTTGTGTTAACTTTGCACGGTAAAACTTGACGGTGCAAAAAAAAACAACAACAACAATACATTGGAAAATGAGGGAAATGGCTGAAAACGTATATTACCCCAGTGTGTTGTCTGGAAAAGCTACTTTGAGGTTAGGCAGGAATTAACAGGCTCGAGAGTAGCAGCAGGGTCGAGCCGCCTGAGAGAGCTCCAGCTGCTACCTCTGGCTGACACTGAATGATGCTTGTTGTTTGGCTGTAATTCCTGTCGCTGGCGATAATGTATCGAGCACCCTGCTGACTTCCTTCAAACAAATAAACAGCCGCTGCGTTTCGTGTTGAGGTGCCTGTGTGCTCAGGAAGTCACCGCAGCTTCTCGCCCAGTGGTCTCAACAACGACGGGCTCCTTCCAAGCAAAAGTCGGTAGCTAGAATTCCAAGCATGCAATTCTGCTGACTGTCATGGTTCCTCCTGTACGTCTACTGCGTGCGTCAACGTCAACACCGCGGAATTGTGGGTAATGTAGTCATATTAGTTATTCTTTCCCACTTTACACCACACATAGCGAAATAATAGAGCGGTAATATCACAGAAACAGTCTTAATCTAACAGTTACTAATTACAGGTAAACGTTTAAGCCACGGTGGGTCGATTTTAATCCAAACAATAACCCGTTCAAATACAATATATATGGAAGCCCATTTCCGCCAGTAAAAAAAATAAAAATGAAAATAATAAAGTCTCATAATTTTGACTTTTTATCTCATTATTTTGACTTATCTCATTATTATGACTTTATATCTCATAATTATGACTTTTTATCTCATTATTATGACTTTATTATTTTCATTTTTATTTTTTTAACTGGCGGAAATGGGCTTCCATAAATATACGTATCTTCCTGGTTAAGAACGTGAAAAAAGGTGTTGAGATAAGCTTTTAGTTGTTTAAGATAGCTTCTGATGTTAACGTTAGCTGGTTAAATTTTTGGCGTTGCTATCTTTTTCCTCCTGTTAACTTTCTGTTTGTTTTGTGTTTGTGCTTCACTCTGCGACCGATAGAGGGCGGTCTACAACCATTTCCATGACAACTCCAGAGGTGTAAACATTTGCTTTCCAAGACAAGAAGCTCACAGCTCATTGCTATCACTTTAAGACAATGGAGAAAATACGTCTCAATAAATCATCTTTAGAAGCAGTGGATGACTACTGGGAGTACACACGGTTTGTCTCATGCTCTTGTATCCTGATTTAAGATAATCTCTAGAGTTTCTTAATACCCCTGACTAGGAGCAAGCAACTGCTTACTACAGATGATCTGATATAATGCTAGAGTACTTATGTTATATGCATGCCAGTTCATTGTAGGCCCTATAGGTAAGTAAGTTACTGTGGTGTTTTTATTGGTTGGTTTGTCTTTTTAAGGATTGTGGGGGGTGATGATGGAGGTAAACTGTTCACTCCAGAGCAATATGAGGAGTACAAGAGGACAGTGATCCCTCAGCGAATGAAAAACAGGCTTTATGTAAGCTTTGGAGTGCCAGGAAGTATTGATTGCAAACTCATCGGCCCTGAAACACAGTGCTTTTGTAACCATAGGTAAAAACTACATTATCGAATACTATATATATTTTCTCCCATTGCATTTTAATACACACACAAATGCATAAATAAACATACTGTATGTGGGACTAATGTTTTCTTTTTGACAGGTACAAAGAACATAGGACAGAATTTGAAGTGGTTCCAACTGAGCGTCCCCTGGCTCTACCTTGCCGGGTCAGAGGATGTAATTGTGTTGCCTATCAGTATGTTCCCCGGATTGGGCAAAACCCCGTACGCTGCAGGTGTAAACACTTACCTGAAGACCATAATGAAGCTACTGGGCACTTGTGCAAAAGTGTGAGTCAGAAATCACCTCCTCTAAAGACAGTAGTCATTTGAGCCCAAATTAACCCCAGATGAAGGCATAGTAGTTCAAGATGTTTATGTTTCATTCTCAAAAAAAAATGCAGGCAGTTCCTGTTCTGGGTATCAAAGCCCTACATCTGTGGCTGTGGTCAGCCCAGCTCTGCCCACCAAACCCTGGTGAGTGTAGTTGAAAATCAAAAAAAGCTTTTTTTTCTCGAAAAGAGAGAAGTTAATCGCATGATATTGCTACAATTTGTACCCAGGCACAAAGTTTTCTTGCATAATTTGAACTCAATTAACATTATTTTGTGTCAGGTTGAAACAAAAGTAGAGAGGGAGGCACGCGGTCAGCCTACAGGCAGGGATGTTCCCTACGCTGCCATGGGGGGGCTGACAGGCTTCAGCTCTTTGCTTGATGGCTACCTTGCTTTGGAGGCAAATAGCTCAGGTGAGAACTACATAAGACTTTGTGTAATGAATTCCTAACCCTAACCAGAAACTTGTTGAAATTAATTATTATTTTTGCAAGTGTTGAAACTCTCCCCTCCTGCCCAGTACCAGAGGATGAGACTTCACATAGTCTTAAATTTGTCCTTGTCTTGAGTTAGGAAGTCATGTTTCTAACTTTGTGTGTTCATTATCGTGGAAAAAAAAGATGCTTTAAAAATGTGTTATGTATTACTCCTCATACCAATCTAAGTCATTCCACATGGGCAGCAGCTAATGGTCTCAACTTAATTCCAGATTACAAATTAGACAAGAGCAAAACATTATAATATGCAATATGTTAAGCACTCAAATTTAACCAAGGAGCCACGTTTTCTTTAACCTACCATGTTTGAATGTAACACTGTTAGTCTACATATGACAGGACCTTATTTCCCTAGCTCATTGTTTATTGATTATTAGAAAACAATTGGCTTAACTGCTGGTCCAACCATCAAGTCTTCATACTAGATCTGCCGTACAAGTTCCTTAACAACATAGCAATCCCAAATATACCATTGATACGCTATTTTCCGAATATCCCTGCATGCCTTGCTCGATCAGTCTCAGACATATCTTTCACCAGATCAATATAGAGTGCTTTATTCACCATTGAAGAGAAGAAGCATCAGGTCCCATCAAGAATGAACACAAACCGTTTTTTCGTCGCCAAAAGACTGACTCCATGCATCAAAGAATTTCTACAATTTCTTTGATGAATAGAGTCATTGTTTTGGTGATTCAGCCTTTGTAAGGCTGCTTTTGAATTATGGAGGTGTGTTTGCAGACATTTGACTAAAGGTGAAGGAAGTTCCATTAAGGGGCATGTGAGGGCAGCAGAGAGCAGCACAGCGTCAGTGGTGAACTAGTCTGCAGGATTTTTGTTGTTGGAAAGGGTAGTACGTATACAGTACCCACAATTCTAAGACAACACCTTAGATTTCATCACCACATGTGTTTCTCACCCAGACTGTGTTTGTATTAGGGATGTGGGAGATAAAAAATCACACATTTCTTATAATAAGCAAGATATATTGAGATTAACGTCTTTCATATAAAATACACCAATCGTTTTCTTTTCATTACAAGATGCCTTTTTTACATGACTACTTTACAACACGAAGCTCTAATGCACATTCATGAGAACATTCAGTTCTTATACCAAAGTATTTGGAGATATTTGGAAATGCTGCAAAATGTTGAACATGTGAATTCAAGTTTGCAAATTATATTTAAACAATCAATCATAATCATTTTCATTTTTTTCAAGTTCTTTATGGGGCCTTTTTGCCTTTATTAGATAGGACAGCTGGAGAGAGATAGGAAATGTTTGGAGTGCAGATTGTAGGATGACATACAGCAAAAGGCCAGAGCTGAATTTAAACCTGCAGCCGCTGCGATGAGGACTACGGCCTGTGTACATGAGGCATGTTACATAATCACAGGGCCTCAAGCAGTCATTTTCACCTCATCTGAAATTTATCATCATAATTGCAAAATGAATCACGTTTTTTAAAATTCCTTTTTCTGTAGTTAATTATGTATGATTTTAATTAATATAGTTGTGACGGATTAGTCCACAATTTAGCACCCCATAGTACTACGTGAAGAGTAACGTTCAGCACTGAAATCAGATCTATAAGCCTTTACTTTGAACAACATCAGTGAGAAGGATCCTGGTATGGTAAATTATGGTTCTACACACGTGAGATGCAAAACACCCATCACTGGAACACATCAGACTTCATTTTCATAATCTCTGCTGCATCTTTTTTTCAGATCAAGGCAGTAGAGAGGATGTCTGCCAGCTGAGATGCTCAGGATCAAGGATCAAAGAAACGCCTGCTAAAAACAATTGCACTTCTAACTGTAAGAAAGGAACCCACAATCATTGAAATGCAACATTAATTGAGAATCAACAGACCAAGGAAACTTCACATATCTGATAAGTCTTACCCAGTAAATGTGTCTTCTTTTTGGTGCATTGACAGTCTTTGTCTGTGTCGTGACATTGTGGGATATTCAACTGTCAGCAACAGCAGAGATTAAATCCCACCTCATGACTATCAGTCAACTGACAATACATTGATACAAACAGAGGTTTGAGTGTGGGAAGCAATAGGAAGCATTACTATGATGATCCATATTTACAAATTGACACAGCTTTTTGTTAACTTTGAACATAAAACCTGAAGAAAACCAGTTTTGACAGAGCCTAAATACATTTAAAGACAGACTCAAAAGGACATTTCTTTCTGCATTTATAATTAAAAAATCCTAATAATCATTTGAATTTTCAGGTTGAATATGTTGAATGAGTCATAGTTAATTTACCCCAACCAATTCCTACTTTGATTCATTGCAGTTTTTTTCCCTCCAATTTCCCTCTTGATATTTGTTCCATAAACTGGTCAGTTTATGCATCTGACGTCCATATGATGATTTTTTTGGAAGAAGACAGATCCACCCACTCAACTTGTTGCCAAAATAACAACAGAACCATGGAGCTACGTGTTTAGCAATGAGCGCTGCTTTTAATTTGCAGATTGATGTACTGTCTCCGAATGATTAATCCGATTCATCACGGCAGATCAGCAGTGATGAGAGCTGATTTAATCCATGCAGTGAATGGAGACTTGTTTTTTTTTTTCACTGGCGGCCCACTTTCCAACCAGAAACAAAATTAACAGGAATCTAAATGAGGATTCACACCCGCTCAACTAATTCTACTGTGAGAATCGGAAGTGAAACTGGATCAGCGACTACACTGGTGCTGGTCAGTTCTTCTCAAATCACCTGTGCTGTATTGTAAGCATCACCTGAGGGGGAACGTGGTGTCTTTGTATGTGTGTGTGTGTTTAAGGGAGCTGAACAGGTGGTCGCGAGTCAAAGGATGTGAGGCTGCGTCACAAGGACAGCATGGGTGCACCTGGGTCCCCTCAGCCGAGTCCCGAGGTGGAAGCAAGTGGAAGGGATCCCATCTGAAAGCTAACACTTCAGATTAAGTGTGTATCTTCGATGACCATGTATCACACACACATACACATTCACAGCTGCATACATGCCCTGAACCTATCAGGTTTTCTCCATTCGCTTCACAGAATAGCTTTGTTGACTGCGAGAACCAACCATTCTTAAATCAAACACTTGATCACAGTTTCCAATGCGTACTCGTGGACATTTTGACTCACAAAAAAAACCAATTAATCTCAGATGAAAAGGTCTGACGCATTAGTGTGGCACAATTACAATTTAAGGTAACTGCCTCTCCTTAGCAACCTCATTTAGGACAGGTAATTGACTTTGGACATTGGTTGAAGGGAATAACTACTACACTTCCCTTATCCCCATGGAAACCCCACCCAGCTTGACTGACAAGATACAACTCTACAAATAAGGGTGAGAACACAGAAGATTAAACTGCCAATTACTGCACAAGGAAACACTTAATTACCCTAGCGAACATAGTCTCCTGATTTCCCCACAGACAGAGAGAGAAGTAAGAACAAGTGAGAGGTGCAGAGAGGCACAACAGACTGACAGGTACAAATCACTAAGAACTGCCAACTAGCTAGCACACAAAAAGAAAAATACAGCTCAAAGTCGCAACAACTTTTTTTTTATCTATGTCACTGACAGTGCACAATACTCTCTTCATGGTCCCACTGTAAAGCTTTGGATGTGTAAAAGTAATCATGTGTGAATATAAAATCAGTTGTTTCTGTTCTCCTGAGGTTATTTTTCACCGAACTATACACCTCAGTTTTACTGAGGGGTCTTGGCACATTTTAGCTCATCTTTCTGGTCGCTTTGTTCTGTTCACAGATCATTTATTCACATTCAGCCTTTTCATTTTTGTTGATTTCCTTTCACCGAGCATGTTAGCATCTTGTAGCTTCTTGTTGTGTTTCATTTTGTCATTCACTGAGCCTTTAAGTCTGTTAAGAGTAATGTTTGGGTTATTTTGTCTCATTCACAGATGAATTAGCATATTTTACTGTAGCTTATATATATCTATATATATATAGATATATATATATATATATATTTTTTTTTGTTTTGTTTTGTTTTGTTCACATATTATTTTAGTATATTTGAGCTTGTTTTATTTGATCTGTTATTGTGTTTCATTCACAGACTCTGTTTTGTTCACACAGTATTTGAGTATCTAACAGCTAGAAGTTGTGACTGTTTGTTTTTTGTTCAAAGTCTTTTAGCATCTTGGAGCATATTGTTAAGGTTATTATTTATTTTTCACAGACAATTCTTGCATCTTTGAGCTTAATGTTTGAATTGTTTCATTTTGGTGCACTCACACTACCTCTCATGTGTGTTGCGTTAATGACTCATCAAGAGCCCGAAGCTCTTAATATACTCACTGTACACATGCCTATCATTAATGATAGAGGGAAAACAGTTCTTATTGTGGCTGTGAATCTAGCTCCTACAGAGCATCATATTTACCTGGGAGAGCACTATCAGAGTTAAAGGGGAGTCAGTATCTTAAAACTATTAGGTGAACAGACAGGTAGACCTACTCTGTTACTTGATTTGATTTTTTTTCAAGATCAACCTAAATTTTCTGTGTAATGTTTTACTTTTCCCATCAAATATCCTTTGAATAAAAGAGGAATTGACCTGTTTCCTATAGGACAGATTTTATTCGAACAAAATACAGCTTGTTCTTTTTCCTAGAAGAACAAAAAAACCCATCATGAACTCCTAGACGCAACGAACAATCCAACTTATGACTTTGACACTCTGGACTGTGTGTGTGTGTGTGTGTGTGTGTGTGTGTGTGTGTGTGTGTGTGATCCCTTTGTGGTACTAACAGTAGGACTTTGACAGTGCAGAGATTTCATAAAGGCTTGATCTTCTCATGAGTAGGCAGACTCTGGGAGGAGGAGTGAGATTGAGTCGTGAGAACAATTACAATATTTTCTTACTTAAGAAACAGATTTTAAAAAGTTTTTTTATGTAATGTACTTTCAGCACATGAATAAATAAAAGAACTCTGAATCAGCTGTAACTCTTTGTCTGATGGCGGCAGAGATAATAATGATAAAAAATAATATTTAGATTTGAACAATCGTGTCGTGGATGGTGATGTTTGCTTTTGTAGGATATAAAAATGCATCTTTATTAATTTCAATCTATTTCTTTACCAGCTAAAAACTCATTAATGGAGCCTTAATGACACACTCATATTTGTCCATTAAATATTTAGCTAGCACCAGCAGTTAGTTAGCTTAGCTTAGCATAAATCAGTAAACAAGGAAACAATCATCCTGGCTTTGTCCTAAGGTGACAAAATCTGTAAGCACCTGTAAAGATTTGTTCCAAAGCAGAAAAAAGGTTGCCTTGTTTTTTAACCAAAAAAAAAAGCCCTTAAAAACTTAAACATGGCTTTTGTCAGTGTGATTGTGCTCGACTCAGCCTTTGATTGAAATGAGAACGTATCAATACATTTATCAAAAGTCCTGCCATTTTCAAACTTCTTTTTATGTAGTCTTGCTGCCTCTAAAAGATGTTTCACATTCTTTCTAAACATACAAAAAAGGTTCTTCATTAAATAAAGAAGTTAGAAGATGTACTGACTTCAGGTTAATCACTGTAGACTTGAATTGTTGTATGGACAGTATTTATTCCAATATCTTATTATCTTATTGGCAAAATAGGAGCCTCGAGTTAAAGAAAAACAATGTATGAACTGTGACTCGGAGTTATTTATTCACTCATTATTTTCCATTTTCGCTTTGGCTATTAGTATTTAGTATTCCTTCTTCCTTAACCGTATTATCATTCCTTTTCTTTTTTAACGTCTTGTTCTGGCTATGTCTGTTGAATGTCAAATGTTTAAAAATCAACTAAGAAATAAAAACACTATGAGGCCTGGCTGTTATATGAAAGAAGAAAGTAAAAATGTAAGACTCATCAAAAACAGCTTGGGGCCCGTTGGAGCGATTCTTTAAAAAGGAAGGTTATTAAAACATGCAGATGCTGCTTCAGTGTGAAAGCTTATAGCGTGCTCCATGTGAGCATGTCCTTGTGTATAACTGCCAGCGCCCACACAAGTACGACGTTAAAACACCCTTTAACCACCTACTTAAATTATAACATTTAATGATAACAACTATGGAAATGCCTTTAATTTGCAGAATAACTATTCAGACACACTTAATGGTTGATTGACAGCCATGTAGTGGGAAAAAAAACATGTTTTTTAAATTAACACTTTCAGCCACTTTCTAATGCAGTAGCTGAACTGCTTACATCGTACATTTACCGTCCATTATGTTGATGGGCATGCATCTACTTGCTAGCACATTTAACCCGACTGTACCAGTGGTTATCACATTTACTGATAAGACCTGCAGTATGCTAAGAGGCTGAAAAGTGCTTTCCAAAGAGCATTGAGCAGACGAATGTGAAACCACAACAGTGATGTGACATACACACAGAGATGCCCGTCTTCATTTGGGCTGTATGTCTTGGTTTTAAATACATTAATTTCCCTCTTAACCTCGGTGACGTTTGAAGGACTTTTCGAAAAATGTGTTCCAGGTTAATTTCTGTGTCCTCCTTTTACACATTGTGACTGAATGTCTGCTTTCTAAAATCACATAACGAGATTCATTTACTATGTTTTTAATCATTCATATTATTCAGTTATTTTTGAGCTAGAGGCTAATCTATTTAAATGTATTCGACTTAGATTGATTAAATATATATATAAAAAACACAATGCATCCTGTTGCAAGAAACAACATAGACATCATAAAAGAAGAATTTTAAGTACATATATGATGTAAACAATCCTTATTTAATGTCTTAATGTTCAACAAACATTGCATTATTATGATATGTCATGACATGTCCAGAATCACAGAGGTCA